CCCGGTTACACAAAAGATGATATTCTATTATATTCCTATTTATCTGCCGAACCTGGTGCGAATGATCCTATTGAATCTGCTGTTCGTTCTGCTGCCGAAAGTCAATTGGATATATTACAGAACAGAACAAACAAGAATGAAGTGCCTGGTTACAAAGTTACCGCCTTCATACCTTTCAATCCAACAACAAAAATGACCAATGCCACCGTTGCAAATCTGAATACAAAAGAAGTATTCAAAGTTGCAAAAGGCGCACCTCCAGTTATCATTAAATTAGTTGGTGGTAATGATGATGCTGTAAATGCTGTCAATGATTTAGCTGTACGTGGTCTACGTGCTCTTGGTGTGGCTCGTACTAAACCTGGAAATTTGAATGAGTACGAATTGATTGGTATGATATCTCTATTAGATCCCCCTAGACCTGACTCTGCTGAAACAATCAGACGTTGTAAAGGATATGGTGTGGAAGTTAAGATGATTACCGGTGATCAATTGATCATTGCAAAAGAAGTCGCTCATAGACTTGGTATGAATCGTGTCATCTTGGATGCTAATCATCTTATAGATCCAGACAAGTCTGAAGAAGAAATCACTAAACATTGTGAAAGAGCTGATGGTTTTGCTCAAGTCATACCCGAACATAAATATCGTGTGGTTGAACTTTTACAAAAACGTGGTCTACTTGTTGGTATGACCGGTGATGGTGTAAATGATGCACCAGCATTGAAGAAAGCAGATGTTGGTATCGCTGTACATGGCTGTACTGATGCTGCTAGATCAGCTGCAGATATTGTATTATTAGCTCCTGGTCTTTCCACAATTGTTGATGGTATCACAACATCACGTGCCATATTTCAACGTATGAGATCTTATGCTTTATATCGTATCACTTCCACTGTTCATTTCTTGATCTTTTTCTTCTTCATCACACTGATAGAAGATTGGTCAATGAGTGCAACCCTTTTAATTCTTATAGCTTTGTTAAATGATGCTGCCACTTTAGTGATAGCTGTAGATAATGTAAAAATTTCATCAAGTCCTGATAAATGGAGACTTGGACAATTGATTACCTTGTCACTGGTATTAGGTGTACTTTTAACAATTCTTTCATTTGGACATTTCTATATTGCACGTTATGTTTTTGGAATTGGGCTGGATGTAGCCGAATTACAGAATATCATGTATTTACACATTTCATCAGCTCCACATTTTGTCATTTTCTCGACTAGATTATCAGGGTACTTTTGGGAAAATTTACCATCACCAACTTTTTTTATAGCTGTAATGGGTACTCAAGTGTTTGCTATGTTCATTTCAATTTATGGTGCTTTCACTGAAGGTGGTGGTATTGGATGGGCATGGGGCCTTAGTATCATAACAATTTCATTGGTATACTTTGTATTTTTAGATTTTGTTAAAGTTGCTATATTTAAATATTGGTCATTCGAATTAACAGCAAGATTATGGCCATCAAAATCTCGTAAAACCAAATTACGTAGTCGCAAATTAGATGCTTCATATCAAATCAGGATTTCTCGAACTGTTGCAAAAATACGTAAAGTTGTTATAATTTGTAAGGTATTATTGGCTTTTGAACATGCAAAGAAATCAAGCAGAAAGAAAGCTATTGCTGGACCATCAGTTTAATTTTAATAATTATAATAATAATAATAACAACAATAATAATAATAATATATAATATTGTATTTTATACGCTATAAAAATAATTAGAATTAATAATTATATATATTATATTATATTATCAAAATAAATAATTTACCGTTTCTTTTACTATTTACTATCATATTTTTTAATTTACATCAATTAAAAGGAGAATTTCAGATTTTTGGGGGGATTTTCTTGTATATTATTTATTATTATATATATATATGAAAAACAAAAGTAATGTTGATAATCCGTTGTATTATTAATTTTATCTTTAAACAACTTTTTTTTTTTTGTTACATTTTTTACGCAATTTTTGGGACAGTTCCGCCACAATTTATAATAAAGATCCGATTGGTTCACAATTAATTTTTGATCATATAGAAGGACTAATTATTGTCCCCTGCTGACCTTTTTGTGCCGTTGTTATTCTACGTAGTATTTTCGGAAAAAAATAACCACACTTGGATCATCATAATAACAATGAGAATAATCCGTTTCGATGTGAAAAAATTATAAATGTACTAGTCAAATTTTTATTTTTTTAAAAAAAATTTATTTTCGAATAATAATAAAAAGTAAAATAAGCATACTAGTAAAATAAATAATAAACAACAATGTCTAAAACTACAACAAAAAGAAGGATACATTCTACTTCTAGTAATACAAGTAATAGTGGTAGCAGTGTTAGCAGCGTCAGTAGCAATTACGATAATGGCATAAGACATGATAATAATGTTAATAGTGATTATGATGTTAGTCGTATAAATTATAATAGTAGCAGTAGCAGTGTTAACAATAATAGTATTGGTGGTAATGATACAAGCATTATGAAAACTACTGTTAAAAAAAAGGAGAGAATGCAATATAAACAACTTGAATTTCAGGAGAATGTTAAATTGTGCATGGAATATTTCTGGAGAGGTGTCTGTGACGCATTTACTTGGCCCACAAGTTTAATCACAATTTATGGGTAAATTGATTTTTTTATTTATTCATGATATTGCTACTATGAATCATAACTATATTCATGCACACACACACACATATATATACACACCCATTCATAAAATTTAGATCTAGTACACTTAGGAATCGAACGTTAAAATGTTTGATTTTGAATGGAGTAATTTTTATAGGAAGTATATTTTTTTTCAAGAATTTGACATTGCCAATAATACACTTTTTCTTGGGGAATCCAATATCAAATAGTAAAGGAGAAGAACATTATTCACCATTTATTACAAATATTTTAGATTCAATTGTAAATTTAATTTATCAGGTATTTCTCACTCATTTTTACACCTTGTAATGGTTTTTTAATTATTTAATTAATTTGTTTATTTATTTTTGCTTATTTGTTTATTTATTTAACAGCTATTTTGGGTTTATCCAATATTTTTATTAAGTTTTATATTAAATTCAATGTGGTACCAAGACATTGCAGATCGTGTTTATATTGGAGAAACCATAAATTCTAAAAATTTTAATTATAACAGATTCTTGAGAGTAGCAGCGGATGAGATTTACAGAACAATATTATTTATGAATTATTTAATATTTTCAACAATAATTTACATTATACCCAAGGTTGGGCCATTTTGTTCATTTATATACTTTTGTTGGATTTATTCATTTTATAGTTTTGAGTAAGCAATTTTCTATTTTACGCTTTTTGTTTTTCCTGGGGGGAGAGAAAATCGCTAATTAAAAAATTAATAAAAAAATCCAAATAGATATAAATGGATAAATAAAGGCTGGTCATTAGAACAAAGGATCGATTATTTTGAAGAAAGATGGGCTTATTTTGCAGGATTTGGTATTTAATCAAAATCTCACTCTTTTAAAAATTTCACTTGATTGATATATTATTAAATGTAATTTATTTATTTTTATTATTAGGTTTTATTTTTACTTCTGTTACATTTTTTGTAGATGTATTTTTTAGTGCTGGAATATTTGCTTTATTCTTTCCAATTGTAAGTGAATTAATTCATAATAGTAATATTATAAATATTATAAATGTTGATAGATTAACAAATATATATATATATATATATATATATCACATTACATTATATCTAGTACATAATAATGGCCAATAATGCTTTACCAATGCCAAGAAATAACAAAAGGTTGGAATTCTCTCCACTGGTTCCTTATAAACTACCAATATTTTGGATGGCAAAAAGAATGAATGATAAAATTATAAACATTTTTCATAATAGAGCAATTAGATAATTATAATAATAATTATATATATATATATATATATATATAACAAACAAACAAACGAACAATAAACATTTAATTAGAAATTTTTTTTTTTATTCATAAATTAAATAATGAACATTTCAAGTAAACTAAAAATAAATTAGAATTTATAATTAAATAGATAAATAAATTTCATAATAATGAATATAATAAAACATAATTATTACCTGTAAAAGATAAGATTCTGCGATGGCTCTTGCTCTTTTATTGAAACTTAATTTCATCTCACTAATTTCTTTATCAACTTCTTCCATAAAGTTAATAATAAAATCTACCAATTTGTCCTTCAACATTTGTTCCGTGTGAAAATTTGTAATTAAAAAACTAATATCATAACCCTATAATATATATATAAATCAATAATATCAATATTATATAATATATATACATGTTAATATTATATAATTTTGATTCTATTTACTTTTATTGGTTTTCTTCTTAATATAATAAAATTATCGGCTCTTAACATCATAAATCTAGTGAATTTGTGACATAAAATTCTTTCCATTTCATCAGCTTGTTTGATCTTTATGCTCATGCGCAATGAATTAATTGATGGCTCTATCAATACTCCTTCTTGTTCATTTCGGCTAATTATCAATGGATTCATTACAACTTCAGGCGAAGATCTATAAAATCAAAGATTAAATATTATTATTCTTATTCTTATCCTTAATAATAACCATGGTAATAATGACAATGACAATAATAATAATAATAAACCTAGCCTCTACTTCAGGCTTGTTGTGTCTTTCAACCACTTGAGATGGAAAATTTTCTAAACATAATGCAGCCGTTAAGGTTGATTTAACTGCTTTTAAATATGGACGCAATGTATTAGACTGAAAAAGCAAAGATCAATTAATTTAATATAAATTTATTATTGTTGCTTCTTTAAATGATGTGATTAATTACCATTTTCAAAAAAAAAACGAGAAAATGTTCTTATCCCAAAAATTGTTACACAGTAAATATCATTTTTAAAAATTACATTAATTACCATTACGATTTTCTTTTTTGTACCATTATTTGTCAATAAACTATTGTCAAGAAAATAAGAAATGAGTTCAGGAGAATTTATTGATTACTATGAAATACTTGGCGTGAATTATAATAGTACGGAAATAGAGATTAATAAAGCCTATCGTAAAAAAGCAATTACTTATCATCCTGATAAAAATTTAAATAATGTTGAAACTGGTAAATACATTAAAAATGTCTAGAGTTTAGTTGTTTTATCTTTTGAAAAAAAAATTTATTTATTATATCACCATTCTTTTTGTTTAATAGCAACAAAGACTTTTCACACAATCACAAAGGCTTACAATATATTAACAGATCCAAAACAGAAATTAGAATATGATCTTAAATTTAAAGCCAGGATTGCTACAAAGAAAAGATTTGAATCATTAGATGGTAAAAGAAAAGCAATGAGAGAAGGTAAATAATAAGCATTTAGATATATGTATGTGAGAGAATTTGTATGTGTTCATTATATTAATAACAAATTAATACAATAGAATTGGAAGAGGCGGAAAAGTCAGCTAAACAACAAAAACTTGATATAAAAAAAGAACAAGAAGAAAGAATGAAAAGATTTTGGGAAAAAGAAGATCGATTAAGTAAAAAAAGGGATGACGATTTGTCATCAACCAATATTAAAATTCCAAATAATTTATCATCATCATCTTCAAATATCAATATTAAAAAACAAACAATTGAAAATAAGGTGTGTGTGTGTATATATATATCTATATATACCTATATATTTTAATTCATTAGTTATTGATTTATATTTTCTTGTACCTCTTTTTTTAGGAAAAAATAATTCAAGATTTTCAAAATTATGAAAAGAGTGTTTTTGAATTAATGGAAGAGGCCATTAAAATTCAAAAAATGAAAAAAATGAAAAAAAATTCTAAATTAAACAATAATGATGATGATGATGATAACGATAATAATGATAGAACAAAAATATGACGACCAAAAAATGAAAATTTGGCAAGTTGATGTCTCCAAGAACAAAAATCATGGTTTTGACCACTCTTGTAACTCATAATCAGTCTTTTAGACGTGTTGCACCATGTTTATATGTGTATGTGTGTGTATGTATGTATTTAGTGTTACATTATTTTTATGTGTAATGTTTGTATAGTGTAATATTATATATAGATAAAGTGTGATGAAAATCTTCCATTTATATATATATATATATATATATAGATGAATTGAAGAGAGGGGTTGTATATGTTAATTTTTAGTCTAAAACAATAAGAGCTTTAAAATGAATGGAATTCAACATTTAAATGGGCATGTTGTAAGCTAATGTTCAACATTAAAATAATAATAACAATAACAATAATAATAATAATAATAATAAATGCGTGGAGCCCTCGTGACAAAAAACCATAATTACCCAAAATCAAAATGTGCATATCTTGGTCCCCTGAAAGTATATATAACTTGTTTAACAATATGGCCCCATAATTTATTTTTTAATTTAAAATTATTTATAATTAATCGAAATAATTTTTAGGTTTATTATTATTACATATATACAAAAAAATTTTTATTATCTAGAAAAAACCAATAATAATAATATTCTAAGGATTATGAAAAATAATATGAACAATACTTTACCAAACTTTAAACTTGATACTAATAATATTTCTTCAGAAGTTTTTCGTTCTTCACCTTCAACTCCTGTATCTGCTTCAATACCCCTTAAAAAATCAAATAAACCATCTAAAACCTCGAATTCCGCTTCATCTTCCTCATCCACCTCATCCACTACCGCCTCTATTCCTTTCTCACAAGGTAGACAACCAACAGTAGCTACAATATCTTTAGCTCCAACAACTACCACAACTGTGGTCACTACAACTACTACCACTACAACTTCTTTTCCCCCTTTACTATTAAATCCTCCACCTTTACCAAAACACCTTGATCCAAAAGAATATCCTTTAGCTGACACTCCAACACCTCCAGTTTTAAAAAGGTTTTGTTTTGATTTAAATGGCCAACCTGCTTACATTCGTGAGCATGAGGACACTGAAGAACAATTGTTGAAGGTTTGTAATACAATATATACACATATATATAAATTAAATATCAAATCTAAGATAATAAAATATACATATATACTTATTTATAGCTTCAAGAGGCTTTATATAATATGCGAGCATCTGGTCCTACATCCTCTACATCAAAAACTGTAAAGACTGCTACTTATCATTCTTTTAATGATAATTTTAGTGGAGCTAAACCTTCAGAAAGCGGTGCCCGTAAAAGACCTGCATCTCCCTTAGAATTAACATTAGAAACTCCTAAACAATCTTCCAATAATAATAGTATTGATAGCAATGAGCTTAGTAATCATTTAAGCAAAACCACGCGAGCTTATAGATCTTTATCCCCGCCACATAAGAAAGTTTGTGCCAAATCATCCTCATCCATGGTAACAAGTCCTTCAAAACAAGAGAATGATCCAATTTCACAAAGACAATGGATGGAATTTTCAAATAACAATGATGAGGATGAGAATGGTGACGATGAGGATGGTGACGATGATAATATTACCGGAATTAAAATAAATTCACTTATAAATAATAATAATAATAATCTTCAAGTTGACTCACGCCAATCCATTACCCCCTCCACCTCTTCAAATTCAAGACATTATAATGCCATGTCAACATCTAATCTTGGTATGGATACTCCTTCTACTGCAAGAAGTACCCAATCTTCTGCACTTCCTTCTCCATCTCTTTCACCAAACAATAATACAAATCAATTTGAAACTTTCTTTGCTAACCATTCTTCTAACACCAATATGAATGATGATGATAATTTAACAACAATTATTGATGATAGTAATTGGAGCCTACAGCAACAACAAAGTCAACAACAAACAAGAAAAGCCATTACCACCACAACTACTTCTTCCGAATTACCTAGTTTATGGGATTTAAATACCATGTTAGCAACATTCGACGCACTACCGCCTTCAATGAAATCTTATATGCTTTTTCAATTATTAAGGCGTTGTCCCACTAATACTCTCCAATATGTTAGTAGTATAATTTTACCTGCATTAAGAAAAGATTTTCTTGGTACTTTACCGCTAGAACTAAGTCTACACATAGTAAGATACTTGGATGCATCAAGTATGTGTAAAGCAGCTCAAGTTAATCAACGATGGAGGAATGTTGTGGATGGTGATGGATTTACTTGGAAAAAGCGCTTGTTATCTGATGGTTTCAATCTTGAGGAATCAGAAGAAGCACGAGCTATTTCAGAAAATTGGGGTTTTGCAAATTCAATAAAATCATCAACAACAATTAAAAATAATCACGAGGACATTGATAGTAATAATAAAAATAATTATGACGATGACGGTGGTTCAAGGCAAGTAGATATTTCATCTTCTGAAGAAAGGACAATTGTAGAAATTGATGAAGATGACAATACTGAGATTATGAGAGTTATCAATAATAATACTAGAATTAAAATTGAAGGTTCTGAATCTTCAAGACATATTCTTAACAACAATGAAAACAATGATAATGATAATGATGACGATAACGATATGGTAGTTGATTCTGATAAAGCTCCAAAACAAGAAAATTCTCATACTTCAATTATTGAAGATGATATCGATATTGATATTGATAATGGTGATGGCGATGGCGATGATGTAAATTTACAAGGTTCTTATACACTCTCTCCGAGTAGTACAGAGGTCCAACCATCATCATCTAATAATACAAATGGTAACGACAATGATAATAGTGATAGTCATGGTAAGGATGACGACAATAATGATTCTTCACATACAAAGGAGATTTCTTCAATTCAAAATAAAGGTAAAGGTCGAGCAGACGCTGGATGGGATTCAACAGAACTTTATCAAGACGAACCAAATCAAGACGATGATAAGCCATATGATGGTGATGATAGTGATGTTGATGCAATGTCTCAAGAAAGTGGTGATCATGTTGACACTTCTGATGATAAATTACCTCTTCCACCTTCAACCAATCATCCATATAAAGAGATCTACCGCCGCCATTATCTTACACGAAAAAATTGGTCTTATGGTCGACATAAGCACATATCATTCCAAGGCCATGGTAACAATGTTGTAACCTGTTTGCAATTCGACTCTGAAAAAATTATTTCAGGCTCAGACGATCAATGTATAAATGTTTACGATACAGCTACTGGTAGAATGATAAATAGACTCGAAGGTCATGATGGTGGTGTTTGGGCTTTACAATATGTTGATAAAACATTGGTTTCTGGCTCAACAGACAGAACGGTTCGCATATGGGATCTTTCAAAAGGCATATGCACTCATGTATTTCCAGGTCACACGAGCACTGTTAGGTGTCTTCAAATCATAACACCACAAAATGTTAATCCAAACCCAAATGAGCCACCTATTATCGAACCACCTATTCCTTTAATTGTCACAGGCTCAAGAGACTCTACGCTAAAAGTATGGCGTTTACCTAATGAATCTGATTCACCATATCATCCTACTATACCTTCATCGCCATCTGACAATGCTCAATTTAGTGATAATCCATTTTTCATTCGCACCCTTCAAGGTCATAATCATTCTGTTCGTGCTTTAGCAGGTGTAGGAAACACTTTAGTTAGTGGTAGCTATGATTGCACCGTCAGGGTTTGGAATATCATGACAGGTGAATGTGTATGGCGTCTACAAGGACATTCACAAAAGGTTTATTCTGTTGTGTTAGATGCTAAAAGGAAAAAATGTATGAGTGGAAGTATGGACGGCACCGTTAAAGTATGGAGTCTTGAAGATGGAACTAATATTTGGACATTAGAAGGACATTCATCGCTTGTTGGTCTACTTGATCTTTCTCACGATTACCTTGTTTCAGCAGCAGCAGATTCAAGTCTTCGTATATGGAATCCCGATGATGGCACGTGCAAGCATGTATTAACTACTCATTCTGGAGCAATAACATGCTTTCAGCATGACGAAGACAAAGTTATATCCGGTTCAGATGGAACTTTGCGTATGTGGGACGTGAAAACAGGAAAACATATTCGAGACCTTCTAACAGGACTGAGTGGTGTATGGTAATGTATTTATTTTATATATATATAATTTTTTTTTTCTTAAGCTAAAATAGTAATTAATTATAGGCAAGTGAGATTTGACGAGCGGCGGTGTGTTGCAGCTGTGCAAAGGAATTCTGTGACTTGGTTTGAGGTCTTGGATTTCGGAGTATTTGGTATAGAAGAAGGAAAAAACACACATAATGCCAGCTGTACTGATGAAAATGGTAATTGGATTTCTAAAAGAATAATTATAGGATAGGTTATACTTGCCATCACTACTAAAGTACATTTCACACCATCAGCATGAATAAATTATTACTGTTTATTTTTTTTTTTGAATATGTTTATCATCGTGATTAAATTTAAATTAACGATTATAGGATTATATATGTAGTTATGAACGTTTTTAATTTTAAAAATTTTTTTATTTCATGTTTGCATATCAATCATAAATACATTATAATTTAGATCTATATAAAGTTTTCTTGTATTATGATTTTTTTTAGATTTATAAAATAATTTTTCTTTTTTTTACTAATATTATTAAAAATGTAAGATAATATTTTTACATATATAATAAGATGTATATGAATTATGATCATTATTTATATTTATAAGATTATTTGATTTTTGAATAAATTTTAAATTCAAAAGATGAGTCGGTAGATCATGATCAACATATAAATATCTGAATTTTTTTTTTAATTAAATTATTAATTTTACAAAAATTAGCATGAGTTCAATCAAATCACTCATTCCTCCAAAACTTTCTGCATCAGGAATTGCGGGTAACTCTGCAGCGTACGCACAATTAAGTGACTTTTATAGCAAACTTCCAAAAGGTCCTTTATCTCAACATGCACCACCTGGATTATTAGGCCGATATTATTATAGATATTTTAGAACTAGCTCGCCTGCTCCTATTCTTCATCTTATTGTAGGCCTTGGAATATTAGATTATGCACTTGCATATCACCTTCATTTAAGTAAATAGCATTTTTTTGATTTTTAAAAGTAACTTGAATTAATATTATATCTTATTAATTTACAAAATTCTTGATACTTTTTTAGAGCATCACAAGAATAAAAAACATCATTAAAATAAAATTAAATCAAGCAATATTCATAATAATAATAATAATAATAATAATAGCAATATTGGTAATCATTGATATTATAAAGTAAATATTTAATAAAATAATTTAGGCGTTTTATTAAAGCCCTTTCTAAAGAATTTCAATTTGCAATTTAGATTTTATTATTCTATTTTATACATAACTTTTAATTTTTTTTAATTAAAAAAAAAGAAATTATATAATTTAGATAAAATAATAAAGTTGTTATCGTCAAAGAAATCGTTATTATTATTATTATAAAGACGAGAGTTTTCATTAATGATACGCATTATATCTAATTTACTACTGATAGAATCTACGAGTTGAATAAATGGAGGAATTTACAAATTCTAAAGTTTTATTTTATGTGCAAAGTCTATACATAGTCAGATGGGTCTGTTACTCCAAAACAGTACATAGTAATCATATAAATATGACACGGGGGCTTTTTACTGTTATTATTATTATTAAGGTAACGAACGACTCATTTGTATCGTGGTGGAAGAATTCATTCTTTTAATATTAGAAGTTAATGGAATGCTTAAAAAGGATTAATTGTTTTGGCAGTCTTTACTACCCTTTGAAACCTAATAATATTATTAAACTAATCAAAAAAAGTTTAGAAAACAAAAATTTTCCCTTTTGTTAATTCAAATATTGAACCTTTTTGCATTTTGCATTATATTAAAAAATTAATAAAAATTCATAGTCAATCAATAAAAATTTCTGAATTTATTTTATTATCATCATTAATACCGTCATTAATATTATGACAATAACAATTATTTAATATATCTATACATTCATCTAAATCTTTAGCCTCTTGAACTTTAATTATTTCAGATATTACAACTTTTGATACTGATAAAAAAATTTGTTCTTTTGGAAATTCCAGAAAATTTTCAATTACCATATTACCATTACCATTATTACCAATAGCGCTATTATTGTTATTATTGTTATTATCATTACAACTGCTATTACTTGGTTCTCCTCCATCTAATAAAGAGACATTGAAAACCTTTTCTATTATATTATAAATAATTGTTTCAAATTCTTCTTTATTTATATTTGCTTGTTTTTGTACTAATGCAGAACAAAATTTTAAAAAATAGCTTTTAATATTAGAAGTAGAATTTATAGTTGAAAATAAATGTTTTGTGGTTAAGTGGTTTGGTTGTAAATTGAGTGGAATTAGATTCAAAAAATGCAATGAAATTTCGGGATTAGGATGATAGACTGAAATAGCTTTCATGAAAATATTGTAAAATTCAACATCTATTATGATATGATTTGTGCGTTCTGCAAAAACATTTGCAATGAAATTTTTATTTCCATTTCTATTTGTAAAATTGAGTCTTGATTTGTATAATTCCAAAATACCACAAATATCATTCAATTTTCCTAATGTTGTAATTATAGAATCGACTAATTTTTTTGATATTATTTGGGTTTTTGATCTGGTGAACATTTCATTTAATATATTCCAAATATATTCTCTGTTGATTCTATTATGCAGGGAATGTTGAGCCAAATTATATGAATTATAATCATTGTTAATATTATTATATTTTTCTAGGGTTTTATTCCCTATAACATCTATTAATTTTTTATATCCAATTTTTTTAGGTTCTAGATTTTTTAACCACATCATTTCCAAAATTCTTATTGCTTTAATTATTTCTCCATGTCTTATAAATTTGTCCAAAAGTATGTTGTAGGCGCCTAATGCAGTATCCCCTTTTGAAAATCTATTTATTCTTAGAAGATAATCAAAACATTTTGATAATGTATTTTTCTCTTGTGAGGTTAAATTGGAATCTATTGACTTTATGTTGTTAATATTATGTTTGTCAAATGTTAATGAGTAACAACTCTTGATAATCTCTACATGTAAATTATGATCTTTGTATAATTTAAATTTTACTATCTTGGACCATATTTGCTCTAACTCATTGAATTCTTTACAATTTTGCAATAATATTATAAATGTTTGAGCATTTGGTTTCATGTTCCAATACTCCATCAATTTGAATGTAATGTTTTTAATTTGTCTGTCATGTATTAAAAAACAAGATTTTAAAAGTAAATTCAATAAATTAGGTGCTAATTTATTTCCTTGAATTATCAACTTTTCAATTAGTTTCAAACAAAATTGTGGATCATTAACTTCTAATCTTGATTTTATCACGATTGAATATGTTATCGAGTTTGGAACAACATTAGATCGATACATTGTTTCATAGACTAAGCAGGGGGGAGAGGGTTTTAAAAAAGAAGATGTGTAAATTGAATATAATTATAATATAATATATACACTTGGAATATTAATAATGAAAAAATCACTTACTATTTTTTACTTCATTTTGCATTCTTTTTTCATTATATATTTTCAATAGCACATTCCAAACATTAATTGCTAAAGATTTCAACAAATATTTTTGTTGGCTAGTGTCAATATCATGAATAAATTTTGCAAAAAACATGTCTACCAAATCTAATCTATCATACTTGGCACATTCACGCAATAAATATGAAATTAATTTAAAATAAAATAGACTTGATGAATAGTTTGAATAAAGAGTGTTGTAAAATGACAATGCTTCTCTCAAAGTCATTTGTTTGAAAAAAGGGCTTGATGTCATCTTATTAACTTGAGCAAATGCCTATTTATTTATTAGAATCATGGATAATAGTATATATATATATACATATAAATAATGATGATAAATGGTAATTCATAAGTTTAAAATAAAATAAAATACAAACAAACCTTACATTTGCAGTTTCGGTGCTCTTTTTTTCATATATGATCTTTTTTTTTACAGTATCATTAATTTTTTCAATTTTTATTGGTTTACTACGTAAAACTCGTAAAAAATCAATATTATTAACCAATTTATTTCGATTAACTTGATTGAGAACAGCCGAAGAATATTGAAGAGTTTGTGAATGAAAAGTGAGACGACACAAACTTTTATGCAAAAGTTTTAATGAAGTCATCAGAAACGTTTTGTATTTTGTAAAAAAAATATGGATTTTTTTGATTATCAATTGTGTAACATTAGATATTTGAATTCAAACAAAAATAAACAAAATTTATTCCAAAATCAGTAATTCGATAGTAAACTTCAACATAATTTATGTAGATTCATATAACACAGCTAATCGTAATTTGTAATTACTTGATGGCGTTTATATATTTATGAATAAATGAATATATATATATTGTATTTATTATTATATATTAATATATTTATGTAATCTTTGATATTTTTTAAATCCATGTCTATTAAACATTTAACGACCATATCTAAATAAACATTTTCCAAAATAAATAAATGAATGAGCAATTGATATTATTTAATAGCAAATAAGTGAAAAAGAAAAGAAAATCTAAATACTTTTGAAATTCCCATTCTCTGTTATCTAATGGACAAACTTGTCGAGTTTTAAGCCAACGAGAAATACAATGAAAGTGAAAAGCATGATTACAAATTCCCCAAGCCCTGATTTATATAATATAAATTTTTTTATATGAAAGATTTGATTTTTTTTTTTATTCTAAAATTTAATTAAAAGAAAAAACCTTACACTGTACATTCTTCACTGGTAGCAGATGCTTGATTTGCTTGACATTCAATACCTTTCAGTTATAATAATTATGTTAATAATGATAATTATTATTATTATTTCTATAATCATTATCAAAAAATCCTACTTACATAAATCCATAATATGATTTCTACATATAGCACAGTTATCAACAACGATATCTTTTTTTTATTGTTTTAATATGAAAAAAAATTAATAGAGATCACCAAAGAAAATATAAATAAACATCACTAATTACCCCAGGCCCATAATGCTACCGCATTCCACTAAAAAAAGAAACAAGTACCTTAATTAATTATATGAGCTTAATAAATAATAAGTTCGTTTTGTAGAATAGATTCATATTCATACCTTTTTAACTTCAAAGCGTTTTTTCCCATGATCTTTGGATTTTCCTGCAGATTTAGAAGATGTAGGTTGATCATCAATTTCCATTGAATTATCCTCCATTTTTGTTTCTGGTCGTTATTTAATTCTATTTTTTGTTTTAAGAAGTAGTAGTAGTAATAACAACCAACAAATGATGATGGTAAAAGTATAATAATAACCTTGTAGATCTTGTATTTATATATTTTTTTTGTGCCAAAAATGGTATATTGAACATTGACGCAGCCAGTCACGTGGCTATATTTCACCAAAAAAGGTTGGATTCTACTACTATAGAATCAACCACTAAAAATTTGATGATGAATTTTTGTTGATGTTAAAGTTGTTCTTTAAATAATGCAATTTTTATTCAAGATTTATATTAATTTATTAGCGCGCACTACCATAATGACAGACAGTAATAGATAATCCTATAGGGAAAATTTAATGTTACACGCTACCCACAAATAATGTAACTGTTATATATACTCAAAAAAAACCCACATTTTTTCCACTCTATTTCATTAAAACACCAGGTCATTTATTTTATATAATATCATATGATAAATTATTATCACCAGAAAGAGAGGATTTTGTATTTAAAAATGAGTGATAATGCTAAAGTTAATTTTGATAAAGTAGAAAAGATTATTTTTTTTTCATTGGTCAAAAAAAAAAAACAAGGAACTTTCTGAAAATGAAAAAGAATATTGTAAGAAAAAGTTTATTTATGAGTTTGAATTAAGTAATGCAACATATAAATTGGGCAAACCAAAAGAATATAACAAGTGTAACTTGACAAAATACCCTGATAGATTCTGTGAAGGTTGTATTAGTTTACAATTGCAGAGTCTTTTCACTACTTGGATTTCTGGAAATAACATAATTGATGATTTTATTCAACAATGTCAAATGAAATCATCTCTACCAGACAATATTTTAGAATGGATACCTTTTGAGCAATTTGAAAAAGTAAAAAAGTTGACTGAAGGTGGATTTAGTTCAATTTTTACTCTACATAGACAAGGGGAAGGATTGATGAAAATAAAAAGGAATTTCATTATTTTGGAGGTAGAGGGCAAGAAGTAGTATTAAAAAGTTTAAATGATTCAAGTAATCCAGGAAAAAACTTTTTTGATGAGGTTGGTAGTTGTCATTCAAACAAAATAATAATACTGTATTGCATAATACTAATTGATTTTATATTCAATTTCAGGCAGTGAATTATTTTAAAATTAGATTGAATATAATTTTTCAGTGCTATGGTATGACTAAATTCCCAGATAATGGAAATTATGCAATAGTTTTAATTTATGCTCCAGAAGGAAGTTTAAGAGATTATCTGCAAAAAAATCATTTAAATTTAACATTAAAAAACAGAATTATAATCATTGATTATTTATGTGATGCATTACATCAGATACATCAGAAAGATTTAATCCATTGTGATTTACATAGTGGTAATATACTTGTGAGAGGAGGTAATTGTTATATTACAGACTTAGGATTATGTGGACCAGTTGATGAAAAGTCATCAAACAAAGTCTATGGAATTGTATCATATGTTGCACCTGAGCTACTTGGAGGCAAAAAGAACACAAAAGAATCTGATACTTATAGTGTTGGGATGTTAATATGGGAATATTTGCAGGTCACCCACCATTTGACAATAGAACTCATAATCATCATTTGATTTTTGATATATGTGAAGGTTTACGACCACCAATATTACCTGGAATGACTGATGATTATGTGCAAATAATGCAGAGGTGTTGGGATGTTGATCCATCAAAAAGACCAACTAGTAGTGAACTTTATTATTTTGCTGAAAATAAACGTGATGAAGTTTTTAAAAATAAAAGTTTGAAAAATAATAGTAACAACAATAATTTAATAAAAAGATTATTCAAATTTTCTAAAATTAAAAAAACATGATGTTAATCTTGATAATGATGGCAGTAGCAGCAGCAGCGGTGGTAGTGATCCGCAACAAGTACACAAATCACACCCAGGTGCATATCATACAAATAGAATCTTAGATGAAGAGATTGCTAAATCTAAAAGCTTAAAAGGTTATACAAGTAATGATAGTTCATTAAATAATCTTGATTTTAACTCTTTTCTCTAAAATGTTAACAAAGGTGAATAAAAAGTTCATTGTTAATTAATTGGAAATTACTATCCATTAATTATTACTAACAATACTATTTGATTGATTAACAACATTAAGTTCTAATAATTAAAAGAAAGAATCGATGAATGACTATTTAATCTCCACTATAAATTTATTTGTTATTTGGGAGTACTGAGACAAAATGAAAATCATGTCACACGGAATTACGATTAATTGCAAGCAAAGAAGGTTTTGATTGCTCGTCAATTTATGTTTATTTATATTCAGTCATTGCTTACTGCCTCTTGTACCTAGAAAGCTTCGGCAGGTCTGTAGGCTATATTTTTGATACAAAACAACAATATTTACGGCTGCTTCACAAAGTTAGTAAACTTTGGAATACCTTTTACGACTGACTTTTTTATCAAAAATCACTCTTTTCTACCAAAAGTCTTTCTCTATAACCGTTTATATTTACAATTTCACAATAACTAATAAACAATGCAAAACACAATAACATGACCTGGATATTACACTATACTTCTCAAACACACTTGGTTGATCAATGTCAACCTCTAAAACTACCTTTAGTATCTTACCTATTCTTAACCAATCTACCGTTGATTAAGGCACACTAACGATAACGAAGTCAACACATGGGTCAACCTTTGTTATAATACTACAACTTTTCTTACCAAAGTTACAGTCTACCTCAAATAAATAAACGAATGGAATGTTCATTTACCCCATTTAAACAAATAAAAAAGAAACAGAGAATTTAAGAGAATAACTGATTCACATGGAACGTACCAAACAAAACCCGACTCTCCTCTTGATGAAAGAGCCCAAATAGAATTTCAATAAAATTTCAGAGTCCCAACTCCACTCTGAATTGCAACCTCCTGAGCTTGAAACAAGCTGCAGATTACAACTCTTCAGAATTCTACAACCTAGGTCACAACTTCCCGAATCGCCATCTTACCCTAGAAGTAGGATTGTTGCTGTCTACTTTTTGGCATTTCCTGGTCAGGTGTTGCGAGGGAAGATCAGGATCCATGCAAATGTCCTCAAAAATGATGCATTTTCGATAAACTCCAGACTCATACACATCATATCTCAAGTCAGATTAGCCTTATGTGTATAAGAAATATGAGAATAACTGTAATGTTTTAAATGTTTGAAATAGTACATTCCAACATCAGTAAATTTCTAGTAGCGATTGTAATTCCCAGTTGCGGATTTTCTAACTAATTTTTAAAATTTTACAGGGATACAATTAAAGGCTGACATTCTAACGAGAGAATCAGTGTTTACGAGAATCAAATAATCGAGAATAAGACAATGAACAAATTCAAAGTTAATATGAATGGAAACTATTAATTCATCAAAAAAAAAACAAGTAAATGATGGTTTTATTATAATTTATGGTTTATTTAATACAAAAATATTTATATTTTACATTAATTTTTCTAAAAAATTAAAAAGACTTTAAAAATGTTTTTGCTTTGATATCTTGTTTTTTTAACAAGTATTCAACAAATGCGCCAAATGAATAAATTAATAAAGCACAAGTGAATGCTATTGAAAAAAAACCAAATCTATCAAAAAATTGATTGTTATTGGTAGAGGCTGTTGGTTTAGCATTAGGATCGATCTCAACAGATGAAGTTGGATCCGTATAATCAAATTTTATTTTCTTTAATATATACCAAGATCTAAATTCTCTGACAATCATAGCTTCAATATATACATCACTTATCCCGGTATCTTCAGTTAACGACCAAGTGAAAGTTAAAGGTAAACTTTTCAAAGTACTATCACTATGTTGCATCGTGTTTGATTGACCAGTTCCACCACAATCAGTTTTCGATACAACGCCTTTAACCTTTGTTTCGAAATTACCAATGCGATTTCCAATTACGTCATGTGCGTAAATAAGTAAACCTTTAATTGAGTTTGGACCGACTATTGATATTTCGATTTTGCCGTCTGCGTTCCTTCTTTGGGATAATGCATAACCACCTGTATCATTAACAAAATATGCTCCGTGATCTCCATTGATCATTTGATAAACATCACAAGTTGGTGACCTTTGAGGATAAGAAAATGTTAACGAGATGAATGTAAAAATGAAGATAACGTTGAAAGTAATATTCCAGTTTATAACCATTATTTATATCGAAGAAAGATTTTTTTGGGAAAAAACAAACCAACTATAATTTTGAAAAGATTCTTGCAAGGGGAAATTTTTAAATTTAATTGTTTTTCAATTAAAATTTTTATTTTATAACAAAAAAAAAATTTTGTGCGTGTGTATATAATGTGGCTTTTACAAGTATCATTAACACAGCCTTAAATTTTCGATATTTAAAGAAAAATCATACTAATCATACAAAATCACTCAAAATGATTATTTGTTTATTTATTTATTCTTAAAAGAAATCATTGATTTTTTTTTTTTTCCTCAATAAATAAAAAAAAATCCTTTTTATTTCAATTTCGATTAAAACAAAATAAAAAAATAAAAAAAATGGATTCTTCGCCTGATTTTTCGGCTGCTTATTATTATATATCAACTGTTATTGGTTTATTGGTTATTCTTGCAATTCCTTATCAATATTCTCAATTTGAACGTTTATTAAATCGTAGAAAAAGAAATCGGTCTCAAATTAATTTGGATGGTTCAAGAGAAAAATCTGAAGAGGAGGAGGATGAAGGAATTGACATCACTCCAATTCATTCTTCCATACGAGTTAGATTTCATAAAATATGGAATGCCACCATCCATGTTATAGGTGTTGGTGACATGAGTATCGGAGAAATCATCCTTTTACTATTTTTCATTTTCTTTAATTTATTTTACACCTTTTATCCATTTCAATCATCATCAAATACAAACTTCTCGACTGATCTAAATAACAGAGCTGGTTGGATCGGTGTAGCGAATGCTGCTTTTGTATTCCCTTTAGCTTCTCGTAATTCTATATTTTTAACATTCTTGGGCATACCTTATGAACGTATCATTAAATTTCATAGATGGACTGGTAGAATGATAATTGTTTGTATATTGCTCCATGGTATGGGCCACATACAAAAAAGATATCGCGAAGTAGGTGATCTATATACAACAATATTTGGAAATATTACTTATGCGAGAGGCTTTGTAGCTTTTCTTGCCTTAGCATTACTAGGATTATCTTCTCTTTCAATATTCAGAAGAAGATACTTCGAATTTTTTTATTGGGCTCACATTGTTGGCTTCATAACTTTTGCTATTGCAAGTATTGTTCATCAACCAAGCAATCTTTATTTTGAGATATTAGGAATTTCTCTTTACTTGATGGATGTTTCAATTAGATTCTTTTTATCAATGAAAAAGGCAAAAATTGTTAAATTAGAAACAATAGATGATGACATTACAAAAGTTACCTTTAAATATAACATGTTTTATGAAGCTGGACAATACATTTTTGTGCACTTTTCAAATCTAAAAAGACCTTTGTCAACTCTAGCTTGGCACCCTGTATCAATATCTTCTTCTCCTACTTCTTTCTTATCATTAAACAACAATATATCAACAATCCATTTAAAAACAATTGGCAAATTCACTAATTTGTTATTTAACAGAGCATCAAGAGAATCGAATGTGATAAATCCTACCTTAAATATAAGTATTGAAGGACCATATGGTAAATCAGGTGTAGAGTTCATGGATCATGAAACTGTAATGTTGTTTTCTGGTGGAATCGGCGTCACTCCTATGATTAGCATATTACGAAATTTAGTTGATCGTTTAATTTCTGGTATGGCAATTGCAACGAATGCAATTTATTTCATATGGGTTGTTCCTAATCTTGGTAAGAATTTATATATAAAATATATCACCAATATAGTAAATGTATATATAATTAATCCTTTTTTTTTTCCTTATTTTAGATTCGTATCATTGGTTTTCAACTGAACTTCAAGAAGTTCAAGATAAATTTAATACAATACCAAATAATTCTTGCATATTAGATATACAAATTTTTATCACAAGACCAAATTCAAATGATGATATTTCAACTTCTTCGATACTACATATTGGTAGACCAAAATTTGAAGGGATAATGCAAGATGTTAAAAGGTATCAAGGTTCGGGTGATGTGGCTGTTGGTGTTTGTGGTCCATCCCTTATGCTTAAAGATGTAACAAATGCTGCTATATCACAAAGTACCCGTAAAGGCCTTTTCATAGTACACACTGAAACATTTGAATTGTAATATATAAAATAATTTTTCTTTTGTTATTCTTCTTATAATGTAAATTCTGAGTCATGTAAATCTATATTTGTGTGTTGTATATATATATATATTTATAAATAAATAAATTTCAAAAAAAAAAATTTTCTGGGTAACAGAGTATAAGTGATGATCGGTACTTAATATGTCACATTTTTTAGTGATAGAATCAAAAATTCCATGCACCAAAATAAAAAAAAAAATGATAAATAATTATTATTGTGCTTCTTTACTCATCATTCTTTTCTAAATTTTATAAACAAACATTTACTTACTTACCCTTTAATATTTTATGTATAACCGAAGAGCAACGGTACCTGCAGGAACTGTAGCAGTCCCAATCGAAGATAAATCAAATTATGATGATGTATTAAGTAATACTGGCGTAGATTTAAAAGTATGGAAAAGAAATCCTTTGATCTAATATTAACATTGCCGTAGTTGCTGTTACTTAACGGTGCTACCTTGTTATTGTTATCATTGTTTTCTATTTATACTTATTAATTTAATGCTTTTTAATTTTTTTATAATAATAAAAACAATAACAGGAGGAAACAGATAATATTTTGAGAGAAAATGAAATAATAGGTTTACGTCAACCCTCTTCTATATTTCAACCTGATCGTTCAAAAATACAAGATTTTGTAGATCAAAGAAAGTTATCAGCATTAGTACAGTCAATAGGTAAGCATTAATCAAAAAAGAATTAAAGAAACACATATTAATAATTAACAATTAAATTAATTATTAATACATGTGTGTGTGTGTGTGTGTGTATGTATATATTTACTAATATATTTATTTGATTCTATAAGCAATTAAACAACATAAAGCGATGATGAATATGCATCCAGATTGTTTAACATATTTAGCACTTGCAACACAAGAAAGAATAACAAATTTAGTAGAAGCGATGATTGCCGCAAAAAATAATCGAATAGAATCAGAGAATGTCAAATTTCCAACATTATCACCAGAAGAAGTTTTAGTTTCTGATGCAAAATCTCAACTACTTGCATTAGAAAAAATTGAACGAGAAGAAGAACGTAAAAGGAGAGAATTACTATTTGGTCCGGAAATAACTGAGAATAATGAAAAAAGCGATGATATAAACGGACCAATCGAAGCACCACCACCAAAGCGCAAAAGACAAAAGAAAGATTCCAATGCAAATGCTGCTTTACAAAGATTGACAAATGAAGCAATCGCAACTAAAATTACAAATCAAACCGCTTTGGTTGCTGCTGGTGGTTTGACAAAAAGTTGGATGTTGGCTGCTACTGAAGAAACGCCGATAATTCCTTCACTTCCTGTAACAACTAATGGTAAAACTAACACTAATATAAACACAGACACTACTGCTACCGCTTCTAGCGGTAGACAACCACGTTCACGTTCATTATCAGTTTCAGCTGGCAAAACAACAAAGAGAGATATCAATACTGCTTTTGGTGGTAAATCCTCATCTTCACAATATAACACATCATCAAACAAACAGAAATTTGCAAATGGTTCCACCACATCTTCTAAACAACAATCAGAATCAAATGATTCATCTAACTCATTGGTAACAATGAAAGATGCTCTATTTGTTTTAGAAAGAGATCGTGGTGGAGGTGGCACCAATTCACTTGTAAAGGTAAATAGGTTTTTGTGAACGGTTCCATTTCTTCTTACATTTCAATCAATCTAACCTTTTATATGCGTGCGAATTCAACTTTAGGGATATATTAAATGGCTTCGATGATTTTATTTATAACTTATAATTAAAAAAATTTTTTTTTATGATGAAACCATACATAAAAATTATTATTTACATATAGTGTTAATAAATCCTTCTTGTATCAAACTCCATTCTTCATCCATATTCAATCACCCTCTATGTCCTTATAAGTTTAATTAAGTGGTGAATACAAATTCTATAATTCTAACATCCACCTGTAATTCTCGCAGCTGGATTAACTCCATCATAAATATTCAGCTTATATATCTCTAATATTTATTACATATAAAATCCTCAATAATCTTCACATTGTCTCTTATAATTTAATAGATATTTGATGTTTTGTTTAACTTGTGGTTAATCCAAACAACATCAAATTAAAAAAAAGAACGACTAATTAATTATATCAATCATGATAAAAATAAATAGAACCTTTTTATTCTTTTAACAGAGTATTACGGCCAAGAGTAATTTTATTAACACTTTAAAAAGTCCACGATTTATTTCAAAATATATAAGAAAAATAAGAAAATTTATACATGATTTAAATCGGTATATCTTCCCTCAAAAAGGGAATTGTATTTCCTTTATAGATATTCACGTTTTCAAATCTTGATACATAATGTATTTGTTCCTTCATTTTACCATCAAATTGGATAATACAAAAACCAAAATATCATTATAAGATTATAAGCACTTCTTTCAGTACGTAAATTGTAGACGGTTCATAATATACATTACTATATATTATGAACCGTCCTAACCTAGATTATGAACGTGATCCGTGAATAGTGACACATATTAAGGTGTCGTGATCCTTTTTTTTTTTTTGACACATTCGAGATGATTAGAATGTTTTTGCGCCGTTATTATGTTCATAGTCTACGGATCCCTAAGCGATCCATCTAGTTCATAGTTTACGGCTAGGATATGATTTACCAGATTTCTTAATCTCTTATTTCTTTATTATTTTTAAATCTTAATTAAAACATTCACTAAAATTACACTTATATAATTGTACAGAATTAATATTTCTCTTTTTTTATTGCTTTTCTTTTTTTTTATTTTTTTACTTTATTCTTTACTTTATTCTTTACTTTATTAACACAAAGAAGAAATTTTCTATTTGCCGTGTCACCATCTCCTTCCGAAATTCGCAAAGTTCATAATCTTCGTG